CCTATTACATCGTATAAGAGGTTGAACACGCGTAAGAATATCTTGCTTGGTAATGATCTGATTTGTGATATGTAGCTAATGTGTATTTGTTGTTCTGCCGTACATTATGCAGCAGCAATTCATTTCTAAACAACATTAACTGGCAATATAGCAGTTCAGTGCAGAAATTACAGGCATAAACATAAGTTTTACTTAGGCTGAGCAGTAGCTAATTTGAGAGACCAGCAGTCCTGGTCAGGGGAGATCTTCTGGGGTGAAGAGCTGAGGGTATGTCTCTTCCTAACTCACCCTGCCAACAGAATACCCCCCGCCCCCCCTGCCAGATGATACTGGGTATCGCCAAAGTATCCGGCAAGCAGAAAAGACACATGCAGACACATGTGGGTACCAGCTGGCCAAGGGACCCTGCACATGGGAGCTGACAGCTTCCCTATGCTGGAATGAGTTTGTAAAAAGTGGTGTCTCTGCAGACTGCACCAATCAATAGCAAAGATCTGCAGGAGTGGCTTTCAAATTAGATAAGCTTTGGAGCTGATGTCTGAATGATAGTAACAATATAAACACTTGACTGAATGCCCTCGTGTCATTGCATCCCTAACAACACTTACATAAGACCATTTGTATTTTATGCGATCTTATTTTCTTTTGCTTTATTTAATGACGCCACTAAATAAAAACACTCAATAATTGCTGTTGCTTACTTTAATTCATCAATTAAATGAGCAAGGCTATTAGGATAGATATATTTTAAGATGGAACAATTAGCAAAGGTTAAAGGGACAATGCTCATTAAAAAACCTACTGAATGCACATCAAACGTTTCCCCATTCTTTTAAAGACCAAAAGTATTGGTGCTACAGATGAGAGAAAGGGTCTTTTCACAGTGCCCACTGGTCCTATTGGAAGTGTCTTCCTCCTCTGATGGCTAGAAATCATAGGATCATTAAGGTTGGAAAAGAACCTTAAGATCCATGTCTAATTTCTAGTCTAAATTTATTCTTGGCCCATTTCTACCCATTTGCTCTTGTGCCAGTATTGTCCTTCAGCTTATCTGTCCTCTGGCTGCTGTAATTTATGCCCTGTTTACATTTCTTTCTGCCTGGGCAATGAAGATCTATGAAACATGTCCATTCTGCTTTAGTTTGTAGCCAGTTTCACTTTCTTAATTGCTCCAGTGCCAGGGTTTCAAGCAACACAAGGGAGCATCCTTTGTTTAAAAAGAAAAGCTTTCATTCAAGCTGTTCAATATTGTTGGCATATTTTCCGTTTGATTGAAGGTTTATGAATGCTCCTTTTTTTTTGTCCCCCCACAAAACTGAGAAGCCAGGCCAAAATCAAGCTGACAGAGTCCATGTGAAATGGTTAAAGAAATAACAACAGAAAGAAGACTTTTCAGACCCTACATTGTGCTAGGGGTCAAGAAAGAAAAGTGAGGGGATTGCATTGGTTGCTGGAGCTATCCAAGTGCAAATAATAAGGCTGGGAGTAGCATGTAGCCTTTTCTAGAATGAATGCCTGATGCTTGCCTCCTTATATTTTTTTTGAAGGGAAACTTTGCAGGAGTTGCTCTGGCATGTTTAATTGGGGCAAGCACTGGTGCGTGCTGCACAGGGATCTCTTGCACACCCCATGTTCAGCACAGAGCACTGGTAGTGCAAGGGGCTGAGGCTGGAGCTTGTGGGGGGATCGCTGGAGCATCAGTGAGATCTGGAAGTCTAGCTCATTTATGTCCATTTTGATAAACCCAGCCCATGTTTTTTGGCTCATCACAGTTGAGACTTGCTGATGAATAAGCAAGGACCTGAAAGTTGTTGAAGGTAATGAAGTGTCTATGAAATATGCTCCTTCACAAGGACATGTTTGTGTTGCATATGCTCCTTTTACTGCTACTGTCTTCAAGCTTCCTTACCTGCATCTTTAATGAGGAGGCAGACACTGCCCTAGTAGCTACAGATCTTCACACTTAATTTCCTAAGTGCCTGAGTTTGTCATGAGGATGTTGCTCTATTTCTCAGTCACTTCATTGTCAAATCAGTCTTTTCATGTGAGGGCACCTTCTTGCACCCCACATTTTACAGCATTTGAGGAGGGCTGGAATGGGTATTAGAGGCACTGGTTCCTAGAAGTGTCTGCTGTAGTGGACTAAAGAAATAATTTATTTGTCTCCTAACACTGAGAAGGGAGCATGTATTATTGGCTTTCTTTAAGAAACAAAGATCCCAAAAGCCAAGCAAGTAGGAGACAAAGCTTGCATGAGGCTTATGAAAACAAGTCAGGGAAAAGAGAGAGAGCATCCCTGGAGCCAGGTCACAACTAACCTGCCCATGCTGCTGATGGGAGGCATAACCCAGCCCTCCTCAAGGCTGGAACTGCCCAGCACATTTTGCTTCAGTTCCTTTGGATGGGGAGGTTTTCCAGGAATTCAGGGCCTCTGGAGCTGCTGAAGACAGAGGCATCAATGGGACCTGTCTCTGCTGAGGAACAGGGACCTTGAGAGCTAGGTGGCTTCATAAAAATAGTTTTGTGCATCCTGTTCCCTGGTGCAGAGGATCTGAGACTGTGAGACAATCAGGATTTCAGCCCCTCTATTGCTCTGGCCCTCTTTCAATTCTGAAGGATGCTCTTTGCGCAGAAAATCCCAACATGCCTCTGCAGCTAATGGATAGCTGGTCATCTCTGTATGGAGTGCTGATGGTCTCCATTGCCACCTGTACCCAGCACAAAGCCATGTACTCCTTAATTACTGACAAAAATGTCTCTTCAGAAGCCTCCCAATAATTACTCAAGTACCCACTTAAGTGGCTTTTAATTTAGGCTCCCCACCCCCACACTTATACGTTTTCCAGTTGCCAAGCACAGCTAGTCTTATACATAAGCTTCAGCCAAAAGAAATGCAAATGACTTGCCCCCTGGTTTATACTACCTTGCACGAACTTCAGTGAGCCCGTAGCATCTCAGAAGACGGTATTTTCAACAGGCTAGAGGAGGAGCATTCAATCATAATGAAAGATGAAAGCTCTTGTTGTGAGTTTCCCTGCATCTGACAACACTTGGCAACGCTACAGCACCTTTTGTTGGAGTGCTGCTGGCTGCCTTGCCAGCTTGTCTGGTTACCAGAGGCTGCCCCTTGCCCCTCTGCTGGGGCAGGAGTGTTGCACAGCAGGCAGCTGCCCCAGGAGCGCCCACAGGCTCCTGTAAATGCCGTGGAGCAGGTGGCATGGCCATGGCCATCGTGCTGGGTACCACAGGAGGGGCAGCTGGCACTGTCCTTGGGGAGGTGGGGAGGGAGCATTCCCAACTTTGCAGCCTTCTTTGTGGGGATAGAAAGGGAAACTTGGGGGATGCTGTCCTCTCATCCTGAAGGATCTGGCTGCATTCAAAAGGGAAGGCTAGAGGACGTGACTTCGATGGGTAAGCAGGGTCTGTGCCTGCTTTCTCCATGTCTGATAGAAAGCATCGCTCTCTCCGCTTATTTCTACTGTTTTACAGGGGTAGTCTCTGGACACTGAATTCAATCAATGACTTGTCTGTAGCAGGCTCCAACAGCCCTTTAACTGAATAATGTTTTTGTGTTATGTGATGGAATGAGACCAAAGAGACACTCTCTCCCTGAAGTGGGAAAAGAAACATGCATATGAAGGGGGAGGACAGGCAAGCATAGCTAGAGAGGAAAGAAATCACACTGTACAGGAATTCCTTGTCCAAGACAAGAGCTGTAGAGAGGTCATGAATAAAGAACACAAGGAAACAGGGTTGCCCATGTCCAAAAGCTATTCTTGGAAAGCCCCAGAAGAGCCCTACAAAGTGGTTAGAGCAGCTATGGCAGCTTCTGCTTTAAGAACTTCTGGAGTTCAGGGGGGCAGAAAAGGGCAAAACTGTAATTCGTGTCAGGGAGACACATGAGTGATACAGGTTGGGAGGCCGTGATGGATGCCTGTAGAAGGAGCAGCCAAACAATCAGTAGTGGTGCTTTTTTCTTTTGAAAAATGCCACTTTATCAAAACTGCAGGAGGGAGAAAGGAAATAGTCATTTTGGGAGAGCCCGTTGCACAGGGATTTAAAGGCCCAGTTTCATGCCCCTGCTCTGCCTAGTGCAAAAGCAGAGACTTGAGTCTTGGTCTTGAAAAGTGGCAAGACCACAGCAGTGTGCTTTCTTGCTCTTCTGGCGTTTCATAGTGAGCTCCAAAAGGTCTCATTTTGATACCTTGTGGGGAGGAAACATAACTTCAAACCTAAGATTTTCTGTAAAGTAGGTTTCTGTTTATATTAGCTCTAATACTGACTGACGCCGGGTGAGCCTCAGAAGTCAGGCAGAAGGGACTATTTGTGATTGCGCAGTCTGGTTTCCTGCTTCACTCAAGTCAGGACTGCACAGAGCAAGCCCAGTAAGTCCTCTGTGACAGGCATATCAATAGGGCAAGAAACTTGGAGATAAGCTGGAACTGGACTAGATGTTAGGAAGAGCCTTTCTCAGCTGAGGGTGGTGCAGAGCTGCATTCCCAAGGGAGCTGTGGGATTTCCACTGCAAGGATTGGACCAATCTTTCTGGTCCCTAAGCAGGGATCGGACCAACCTTGTCAGCGATGGTGAAGGTACTGCTGGCACAGTACAGGGGTGACCTCTCCAGGGTCCTTTGTACCCTGTGTGCTATGATATCAGCTCATCTATTTTTGAAAGAGGTTGGCTCTTAGGGTGAAATGATAGAGAATCTATCACAACTCTTGCCATATCATTCTCTTGATGAATTACCTTTGCTATTAACAATAAACACGAGCCTTGCCTTGACTCATAACCTCCAGATCTCATTCTGACTTTGCTGGATTGAAAGAGCCCCTCCTTTTCAAAATGTTCTTACTGAGAGGTGAGAGATTTATCAGTCAGGGCCAAGTCTTCTCTGTCATTCTCTTGGATACAGAGGATCTCAACTATTTTTCTTCTGTGGCTAGATTTTCAGCAACAGCAAACTATCAGTGGCCACGGTATTAACAGGCTAAATACAGCTCAGTACCAAGAGCATTTTCACAGGGTGGCCCCATGTGAATCCCCTGTAGATGTGCTTATTACTGCAACAAAGAGACTGAACTGCTCAAGTCTCTCACTATACCCATATTCTTTGTAAACCTGAGACCCTCCTGGAACTGTGTTCTGATCCTTGCCACTTCTGAAGTGTGGCAATCAGACTTTGTGACTTTTGTGATACCGGTGTTTGCTGCACTGGGTACAAATGTGACAGAGCGTTTCTGCTTCTGCTCCCTGTTGCTCCACGCATGCACCCATGGGCTTGGGCTCTCCTAGCTGCAGTTCTGTGGAGAAGGCTCCTGTTCAGCTGTATCTCTCTCATGGTTCCCAATTAGCAGAGTCACAGCTTTCTGGGAAAAAAGAAGTGCCCAGTCTTGAAGTAATACAAACTGCACAATTTGTCCCCAGAGGTTTGATCTGGCTGTGTTAAAATGAAACTTGTTTCTATGAACTCAGATTCCATGTCAGTTCAGTTTAGTCTCTTCACCAGACCTGCTGCGATCATTAATTACTACTGCATTAGTCTTTGTATCCTTGGCAAACTTAGATTTGCTTCCAGGCTACTGATATCTTTATTGGTGTCTGGATTGCAGTAGCTGTGAGAGTCCGGGGAGAGAGAACATGAGATTTCATTTTACTGGGGAGATAGAAAAGTTGATTTATTGCTGGGGAGGGAAATAAATTAAAATGCAAATAGCAAGAGGTGTGCTTGGAGGCCAGGAGTATGTGGGGGAAGTGATGTATTCACCCAGATCCTTTTTACCCAGTGCTATAGGTCAGTGGGGGATCAGGGAGTCTTCAGCCCTTGTCCTAGCTGTATGACAGCTGTAATCTCATATTTTCATTTACTGTTGAGTATGCCCTTGCAGTATGTGGGAGAAATAAGCAGGTTTGGTTAAATAAGATGCAATCTGGATGCAGGTAACTTCAGAGGCATCCTGAGGGCAGGATTAATGTCCCAGCACTCCTGTTCTGCAGAGCTCGATGGCAGTGGGAGTACCAGGTTTTGTCAGAGTCACTGCATTTTCCTGCGAGCTCTCCGAACTGTGCAAGGAGTCTTTGCAGAGTGACAGAGCAATGGGCTGCCCCTTTGAAGCATTGCTCTTCTGACCCAGCAGGATTTGAGATACGACCTGGCTCAGGCTGCAAATCCTGGGCTGCAAATTTGGAGGCTGGATGAAGGGACAAGCAAAGTTTGGGGTCAGGGAACTTTCCAAGGCCTCTTTAGGTCTGGTAGAATCCATTACGTGCAGATAGAGAGATTTATGGGTCTGGAGGGAGTCTGTTATTTCTCCTTGACAGCTTCTCTCCCTTCTTTCCCTCTTGGCCTATGCTAGCGCAACACACCTGCATTAAGGAGGCTGATGTCTCCGATCTCCAAGCCTTGACTTGCTGTGGAGCAGACGGTCCCACAGCCCTGCTGGAGGAACGCGATAGGGGTTTCATTCTCCCTCCCTTCTTTTTATCATTCTCAATCACATAATCGGGCTGTTTTGCCTCAGCCAAGATCTAATCAGGAAGGATCTGTTTGACTTTCAGCAAAGTCAGCTTGATGGAAACTTTAAATTGAAAGGCTTTTCCCGGCACACTTGAAAACAGTTCCAGTTGGAATCAGTGTCTGGCTGCATGGTTACAACACGAGGAGGTTTCACAGCTTGAGCAGCTTTCCTTCTTCCCAGGGAGGGGGGAAAAGCATCGGCAGCCCCTTAGTCGTCCTGAGCCCAGGGGTTTGGAGGCCCTGGGCCTGAAACTGCACTGTGGGGTCACACTCCCCTCTCCACCGAGAGCACATCATCTTCAAGATGTAAAGCCAGATGCAACCAGGTTCAATGTTTGTGAGAATGAGGAACTTCTTGCGTTATTGAAACTGTAGGCCAAAACAGACTACAGGCTGTCATCAAATAGGATTCAAAGAGAATGATGGGGATGGCTGACCTCTCAGAGGGAGGAGAAGGTTATAGGAGTTGTTCATGAAAGTGCTGCTACCCTGAGGTCTGAGGACTAGGTCTCTGCTTCAGACAGAGAAGGGCATGATGTGTGTGCATTCGGTCTCAGGCTCGCAGCTGGGGTTGTTCTGTGGTGGCTATTTCACCTATTTCAGCCTCAAGCTCCTGCTCTGCATTAAAAGCATGAGGCATGTGGTCTTTTCCTCTTTCTTGCATGCTGTAAATGCAGATGTAAGACCTGGAATGAAATCTCAAGTCTATGCTCTCCCTCCCCTTCCAGTTCCTTGATGTTCCTGTGGCTTAGGGCTATGAGATGAGTGGCCACGGGGGAAAAAGACCCTAAGGGGGCAGATGGAGGCAGTTTCTGGATGTTGGGAGAAGCCCAGTGAGGAAGAGGAGGTGGAGGGAGGAAGGAAGGGAGGCAGCTGTCTGTCCTGTTTTTTAAATTCAGCAGCTATAGTACAGGCAAGAAGATACTTGAGTTTTCTTTCCATATGCCTAGGTGGGTGCTTCTAAGCCTGAAGTAGCTGGTTGGCTGTGTGTCCCTTGCTCAGGAAGAGAGGGCGCTCTTGGTTATCTGCAAGTAGAGTGCCAATCCTTTCATTGCTCCTTGATTGAAGACCCTTCAGTGAGGCCTCCTTGCATTGCCTTCATGACTGAAGTGCCATGTGAGCGCTGTCACTGGGCAGGTGTTTGCAGGCCCTTTCTCTTGGACTCCTGCCACTAATGAAGCCACAACTGAAGCACATCACTGCAAGGACAACAGTTTTTCATGCCCTGATCCCAGTGGGGAAGGCAGTGGCAGAATGGTTGATGAACAGGACTGGTGGGGTGGGGTGGTAACAGCAGTTTTGAGCTGAGCCCATCTTGAACAAGCCCCAGGTCTTGCTGTGGCACGTGGGACAGGCACTGACCTGTCTGCAGGGAGGTCTTTCTTCATATGTGGGAACAATTTCAGATGCCCCCTGCTACTACTCCTTTTCACGCTTTGTTTTGGGGAGATGACTTTTGCAGCAAGGCGTAGGCAGCAGAATCAACCCTAGACGGTGTACGTACGGTGTACCTTCCTGCTCTTCCCAGCAGGTGCTTCCAGGAGACAAAGTCTATTCAGCCATACAGGAGGCTTGTGGAAGAGAAATGCATCATGGCATTTTCATTCCTAGACAGCCACAGTTGCCTTCAGTGAAGCAAAGCTTTCTTGTGTTCCCCTGCCTCCACCTGGTGTAGGCAACAAGTCACTGAGGAGAAATAAAACCTTCTGTTAAGTAGAAATCCTCTCTTAAATAGGAAAAAATGTATACAAACATACAAAATCCAAGTAGAATTATTTCTTTTTCTGGGATCCAGTTGGTTTTGTTGTGTTGGTGCTGCCTGTGGCCTGGTTTTTGGAGCAGTGGTTTCATTCTGTGATCTGCGTAACTGCGTACCTGCCACTTGCTTTAAGACACAGAGAAGCCCAACTTCTCCCCAGGCTAGAGCTGTTTTTAAAGACACTGGGTAGGCTAATGAATACTCCTCGTGATGAGTTGCAAATTTTGTTTTAATTGAATCTTTGAAGCCAAAAAAGGGGGTGAGGGGCCCATTAAATAAATTATTTTAATATAGCAATCAGATGATGCAGGCTCTTCTGTGTTTATTAAAAGGCCTAGTCAGCTCAGGGATCAGCGGTGCGAGAAAAGCCCAGAAAGCCAGCCAGTTTTCGTACTCTGCTGCTGTTTTAGGGCCAGATCTCTCTCCCCAAACAGCATATTTTTAAGCGGCCATGTGAATTCTTATTAGACATCCAAACATAGATATAAAACCAGGTATTGTAAACAGAATTACCCCACGCATAAATGGAGCAAAATATTGTAAGGTCTTTCCTTTTCTTTATCAGGTTACCCAGGCATGTTTTTTTTTTTTAAAAAAAGTCCGCCCACGCAGAGAGACTGGGGAATGCCAAAGCTGCATGAATTTTAATTATGCTAGACATGCAACAAGGGGCTACCTTGTAAAGAATAAAGTTAATAAAACATGGATATGGGCTTAATTCTGCTTAATAAGCAGCCCTGGCAATGCACATTTTAGATGTAATTTACACAGCGTGGAAATTGGGCACAATTCTTAAGAGGTGTCTGCATGCAGACTTTCAAACTCAACAGTGCCTTCCTATTGGAAGAGATTTGTTGCTATGCTGCTGTAAAATGGTGAATTAGGCCATTCATAATTATTGGCCAGAGATGGGCGTCTTTCTTTTCCCTGTGCAACTACAGCAGCAAGCATATACATTTTAAAGTGGTATTAAATTTAAATCTCTCCCGTAACTTTCATGCATGCGTTTTCAGTAGCTATGCAGATAAAACAGCAAAAAACCTGCATACACTTCTATCTGTAGTTAGCTCTGTGTGTACAGAATTAGTAAAGCAGAGGTATGCCTAATGACTGAATCTACAGAACATAGCCCATGGCTTTTGAAGGCTCTATGAAAAATAAACAGGATATTCTGTTAGCAACCCTGCGGGAATCATTGCACTTCACTAAGGAAGGATGCCAATAACCTCCGTTTTGACCTAGATAGATCATTCTGTTTAGGAAGGTAAGGGAATGCAATTCTAGATCTCTTCTCTGTTCAAGCCACCAAAGCCCTGAAATTCAGCCAGGCCTTCATTTTAAACATCAGCACTGAGGACAGAAGAGTTTATTTATCAAGTGAACAAAACCTCAGTGTCTTGAAATGTTTATGTTGGCCTCCTTCCATAGCAAGTGCCTAATGCGTAGGCCCCTGGACGCTTAGGGTGGGGTGGGGATATTTAATAAGCATTGTGAGTCTGATTCTCCAGCAGCCATAGGGATTCTGACCCTCTGCCTGCTCCTGTGTGCAGGATGGGGCCTTTCTTCACAAACTGCAGGAGGAGCATTGACGTATCTCTCCAGCATGATCAAAGCACTGTCTTGCTCGTTCATTTTATGAATCAGTGCTATTCTCTCCTTCCATCTTCATAGTGTGCACTGTGCAGCTTTCCAGACTGGGACTGGAGGTGAGGAGGGAGCCCAGGGGAGAAGAGGCAGGAGGAAAAATTGCCTTA